TAGAAAATTTTGGAAATTCACAAATACGTGGAAATTAAATCACACACTCCTAAATAATCAATGGTTCAAAGAAGAAATAATAAGAAAAATTAGTAAATACTTTGAGATGAATGAAAATGAACACACAACATATGAAAACGTATGTGGCTAGCATTACCTTGATATCAAAATCTGAAAAAGATGTTATAAGAAAAGGAAATTGTGGACCAATTTCCTTCATGATCACAGGTATAAGAACCCTTAAAAAAATATGAGCAGGTCAAATACAACAATATGTGGAAAAGATAATATATCCTGTCCAAGTTTGGTTTATCCCAGGAGTACAAGATTGGTTTAACATACAAAAATTTCTGTTTCAGTATAATTCATCACATTAGCAGAACTTACAATGAGAAACATACAATGATTTCAGTTGATAAAGCACTTACAGCTAACATCGTAATGATGAAATATCAAACCTGTTCCCCCAAAGGTTGGGAACAAGACAAATATCTTGTTCATCACTTCTCTTCAGCATTGTACTGTGGGTCCTAGTGAGTGCAATGAGATAAGAAAAAGAAGTAAAAGACATACAGATTAGAAAGGAAAAAATGTAACTCTCTTTATTCACAGATGACATGATTGTATTTGCAGAACACATACAATCTAAAGAATCTGCAAAACGAACTGCTAGAACTAAGTGAACTGGGCTGGGTAGTAGGACACAAGATTAAAATGTAGAATCAATTTTATGTCTATATACTAGCAGCAAGCAATTGCAAAGTGAAATTAAATAATCTCATTTATAATAACAATAAAATAACATTAAATACTTAGGAATATATGTAACCAAAAACATGTAAAACCACTGCACTGAAAACAACCAAACACTGTGGTGAGAAATTAATGAAGATTTACATAAATGGAGAGATATACCATGTTTATAAATTGGAAGAATCAGTATTATTGAGATGATAATTCCTCCCAAATTGATCTATTCATTCATTGAAATCCCAATAAAAATCCCAGCAGGATTCTTTTGTTTGCATGGAAATTGGAAAATTAATTCTGAAATTTATGTGGAAATGCCAAGGATCTAGATTAGCCCAAAAAAAGTTTGAAGAAAAAAAAGTTGGAGGACACACACTACGTGATTTCAAAACTTACTACAAAGCTACAGCAGTTAAGAGAGTGGGGTGTTAACAGAAGGATAGATGAATATATTGATGGAACAGAATAGAGAGCCCACACATATATGTTCGATTGATTTTTTTTTTAAAGTTGCCAAGAAAATTCACTGGGGAATGTCAAGTCTTTTCAACAAATGGTGCTAGAACAACTAGGTAAATCTATGGATAAAAATGAACCTTGAGTGTCAGCCCTCGTGGTTTAGTGGTTAAGTTTGGCATGCCCTGCTTTGGCAGCCCAGGTTTGGTTCTGGGCACGTACCTACACCACACGTCAGTTAGTGGTCGTGCTGTGGTGGTGGCTCACATACAAAAAAAGGAAGATTGGCAGCAGATTTTAGCTCAGGGTGAATCTTCCTCAGCAAAACAAAAAACAAATTAAGGGGGCCGGCCTAGTGGTGCAGCAGTTAAGTGGGCGTGCTCTGCTTCAGCAGCCCGGGTTCACAGGTTCAGATCCCAGGTGTGCACTGACACACCGCTTGTCAAGCCATGCTGGGGCGGCATCCCATATAAAGTAGAGGAAGGTGGGCACGGATGTTAGCCCAGGCCAGTCTTCCTCAGCGGAAAAAAAAAAAAAAAAAAAAAAGAGGATTGGAATCAGATGTTAGTTTAGGGCTGATCTTCCTCACAAACAAAACAAAACAAATCAGATAAACAAAAGTGAACCTTGATCCCTACTGCATACTACACACAGAAAGAAATTTAAGACGGATCATAGATTGAAACAATAAAACCACACAGCTTTTAGAAGAGGACGGAAATAATAAATACCTTCATGACCTTGAAGTAGGTAAAGATTTCTTAGAAATGACACAGAAAATAACTAAACATAAAAATTGATAAATTAATCTTCATTAGAATTAAAATTCTTCTTATCAAAATATGCCATTAAGAAAGCGAAAAGGCAAGCTACAGAATGGGAGAAAATATTTTCAATACATGTATTGATAAAGGGCTTGTATACAGAACGTATAAAGAACACCTACAAATTGATAAGAAAAGGACTAACAACCCAATAAAAATAGTCCAAAGACTTGAACAGACACTTAACATAAGGAATTAAAGGAATGATCAATAAGCACGTGAAAAATGCGCCCAACATCATTGTTCATCAAAGAAATGTGAATTAAAGCCACAGTGAGATTTCATTTTACACCCAATTGAATGGCTATGAAGACTGACAACACCGAATGTTGGTGAGGATGTGGAGCAGCGGGAACTTTCATACTTTGTGGGTGGAGATGTAAAATGGTACAACCACTTTGGGATATGTTAGAAATAAAAAAATCCAGCAAAGATGCTCCCAATTAAAAGATGTTTAATGGGATTAATTAGAAATAGTTTGGAGTTTCTTGCAAAGTGAAGTATACCTTAACCCAACAATTTCACTCCCAATGAAATGAAACTATATGTCCACACAGAGACTTGAACATTAATGTTCACAGGAGCTATATTCAGAGTAGCTAAAAGCTTATAATAGGACAAATGTCCGTGAAGATGAAAGGATAAATGAACTGTGGTATATTCATACAATGGAATAAAACTCTGCAATTAAAAAGACTTTACTATTGATACGTGTGACAACATGGTCAAATCTCAAAAATATGAAGTGAAAGAAGCCAGACATAAAAGAGTACATACTGTGTGATTTCATTTATGTGACAATCTAAAACAGGCAAAACTATGGTGAGAGAAACCTATCAGTGGTTGCCAAGGGCCAGGGATGGCGTATTGACTGCAAAGAGACATGAGGGAACTTTTTTGGCTGTTGGAAATGTTCTATATCTTGATTGTGGTGGTGTTTGCATAGGGGTATATATTTGAAAAACTCTTAATCTATATACATTTAAAATAGGTGCATTTTATTTTATATAAATTATGCCTTAATAAAGTTGATTTTTTAAAAAGGCTACCAAGACCAAACATTGGCAAGGATGTACAGTGACTGAAATTCTCATACATTGCCAGTGACACTAAAATGATACTTTGAAAAACTGTTTAGCAGTTTCTTATGAAGTTAAACTATGTCTGTGACCCAGCACTTCCACTTCTAGATATTTACCTGAGAGAAATGAAAACGAATATCCACAAAAAGGCTTCTACAAGAATGTTTGTAGTGGCTTTATTCATAATAGCCCACAAAACAACCCAAATGTTTCATCAACAGGAGAATAGATAAACAAATTGTCATGTAGTCATACATAGAATAATACTCTGCAATCAAAAAGAATGAATTACTGATCTATAAAACAACACAGTTGAATTTCAAAAACATTACGTTCAGTGGAAGGAGCTAGACACACAAGAATGCACAAGGTATGATCCCATTTAAATGGCCTTTAAGAACAGACAAAACTGGGACCGGCCCAGTGGTATAGTGGTTAAGTTTGTGTGCTCCTCTTTGGTGGCCCGGGGTTTGTGGGTTCAGATCCCAGGTGCGGACCTACACACCACTTATCAAGCCATGCTGTGGCAGGCGTCCCACATATAAAGTAGAGGAAGATAGGTACGGATGTTAGCCCAGGGCCAATCTTCCTCAGCAAAAAGAGGAAGATTGGTAACAGATGTTAGCTCAGGGCTAATCTTCCTCACACGCACACAAAAAAGAACAGACAAAACTAATCTATGGTGATAGAAATCCAGCATTGGTTGCCTAAGAGGGTAAGGATTGGCTTGAAGAGGCACAAGGCGACTTTCTGGGTGGTAGATGTGTTCTGTATCTTGATTGGAGTGGTGGTTACAAGAGTATACATTTATGAAAACACTGGATTATACATTTAAAATCTGTACATTTCCTCGTGTATAATTTTTACTTCAAATACACACGTGCATACAAATAATTAGATTAAATTATATGTCAGAAAATTTGACAGATAAGTGGAATATTTTTGATGTTTCTCACAAATTATTTGATGATGCTCAGATTCACATTAGGGGCCAGTAGAGACAGAAGAAAGACAGCACTGAGTGGTGTAATTGGCTAAGAGAAAAAAAAGACAATCTGATATACATAAGGACAGTTAATTTCACTTAAAAGGCAGTATGGTGTAGGATTAAGAGGAAGGTCTTTGTAACCAGGCTGGGTTGAAATCCTGGTGCTGCTGCTTAGTAACTGTGTGATCTTAGGCAATTTAACTTAACTCTCTCTGTGCCATACACTTGGTTGTACATAACACAACTTAAGGTTGTAAGAATCAAATAAGTTACTGTGTACCAAGTGCTTAGAGTGCCTGGTACATAGTAAGCATTCACATATTATTTGCTATTCTTATTTATTTAGTTTTCATTCTTATTCTTAATTTTTATTATTTTTATTTTTTCCTCCCCTGTCTCCTTAGTGTTATTAGTTATGAAAGATAGGCAGGTATATAAAATGATGCATTTACTTCTTCACACTCTACTGCCTTTATTAACACCCCTCCTTCGACTTATAGCTCTCAAAAAGCAATTTCCCCCTCTTAATGTTGCTAGCTGCTACTTGTCTTCCCAGACTATTCAGCTTCGACTCCTCTAGGAAGCTCTCCCTGATTGCTAAGTCAGACATACCTTTTCTTTGTTCCCCCGGCATCCTCTGTTTACTTTCATTGATCAAGTTGTCTTACAGTATTTGGTTTTCTTCACTGTTTCTTTTGCTACATAGTGGGCTTTGTTAGACTAGATACAATGTCTTACTGGTCTTTGTGCTTAGATCCTTGTCTGGTATAGGGTAATGCTCAATTCATCCTTGTGTGAACGCATGAATACCATCCAACTTTCTTCTTGCGTGTTTCTGTTTGATAGCTACAGTATTAAAATAATGGCCATTCATCTATTTTTATCAACTTTGACTTTCAGATTTTCTTTCTTGGAATTATCTTGCTTCCAATTCGCGCCTTGTTGGTTGGGTTAATTTTATTATTGGCATGGCCGTTTGCTGCAATTTCAACAGCATGCTGTCCTGAAAAGCAGACCCACCCAGTAACTGGTTGGAGGAGGTAAGAAGTGATTATGTATAAATATTAGGTAAATCAAGATGAAGAAGAGTCTATCATAGTTTTATCTAACTGCTACCTACTCAATTTTAATCATTTATTTTTCTCAGATGAAACTGTTCTTAATTTATCGTATGTAGAAATTACCACCCAAGCACATTATAATAATCTTCGGTTGAAGTTGTAATTTCCTAATATCAAAATATTTTGTTTTCTGACTTATTGCCAAAAAACGATAGATCCCTGGTTCCACAAGGCCCAATTATACCTGAAACCATTGCAGCTGAGAAATACCCGGCTTTCTTTGGCTCTTCCTCAGTTTTCACATTTGATTTTGTCCCCCTGTAGTAACTACATATTTTCTGCAGTGGTATAATCAAGTGGATCAATTATACAGTGGTTATTAGTAGTAAAAATGTAATTATTAATATAGCCTAGCTTTTTTAAACATTAGCTTGGAGGCAGAATGGAACTGCTTCTCAAGCATTATCTAGTTAGCATGATATTAGAGAAGAGACTGATCATGAATTAACCGAGTTACTGGTAAAAGTTCATTCCTATTGGGCAAAACCAGCTTGTCACCATCTGTATGTCCTGAAAGTGGGAGCTCTTAATGTGGACTCCATGGATTTCATAGAAATCCGTAGATGGGTTTAGGGCACTGTTGAACTCTCTGAAATTATACACTTTTTTTTTTTTTTTTTTTTGTACACAAAGGTCTATTCCTTTCATCCAAATCTCAAATGAGAATACATCCTCCATAAATTTTGAGAAACACTGTTCTAGAAACTTTTTAAGAAATGTGCAGTTTTCTGTTCATGTTCTAGTAAACAAATGTCAATATTAAACACAAGGCTAGTTTGAAGTGAAACTGAGTCCAGTGCTGGCAACGCCCCCAGAGAACTAATGCCATCTCAGTTCTTGCCAATCGTACTCCTTTGTTTCTTCATAACACTCAAGTTTTCATGTTGTAAAAAAATACTTCAAGGGATGTTTTCATGACCCACCAATTCCTTTCAATTATTTCTTTGGTTTCTATTGTTAATGGCCTATGAAAACCTATAATGATGGAAGGGATAGTCTAAGAATCCAGACGACAGATATAACAACTATTAGAAAAGAAAGTTCTACTTCTGTTAATAAGCCATTCTCTCTACCTCCTCTCAAACAGGTCACATTGGAGTTACTATGCAGCACCAGACTTTTAGTCATTTTTTAAACATTTAAATAGAAGTGTTTATGGCCCTGAATATGGGATATTTGGGAATGTAGTTGTTAGAAGCTACATCACTATAAATAAAAAATAGGAGCTATGGAAATTCTGTGAAGGGGTGAGCTTTTTATCCTTACATAAATAGAGATGTCAACTCTCAACTACAGGGCAAGAAGGGGAGATACGGTCATTTCCCTGTGCCCTCCGGAAAAGTCCTTTGGCTTTCTGGGTCTCACTTCTCCTTACCGTGAAATAGAAGTCAGAGAAACTTCCTCAGTAGCTAGTTGCTTAATAGCTCCTCACTGTGTTATTACAAGAATGTTGAGAGAATTAAATAGGAAGCCTATTTTTAAAGCTCTCATTAGATGTCTTATGGGAGATATACATATTTTATTTTTCATGCAAAGTTTATGCTTAGTTACATACTAAGATGTCCATCCCATGTTTGCATTTCTACGAGTATGTTTTTGTTTCCATACTTGAGTTTATCAAGGATGGAGACAGCATCTTACTTGTCTTGTGTGTCCAGCACAGCTCTTGGCACTGTTTGATGAATGAATTAATTTTTAATGATAGATTCTTTGTAAAGAGTAAACAATTAGATTTCTGGAATTAAGCACATCTCTGTTCTAAGGAAGTGATTTGGTGAATTTGCTTCTTAAGATTCTTGATGATATCTAAGAGCTATGATGATATAGATAGCAAGGCTTACTTTAAAAAAATTATTCCTGGGGCCGGCCCGGTGGCGTAGCGGTTAAGTGCGCGTGCTCTACTGCGGCGGCCCAGGGTTTGGATCCCGGGCACGCACTGATGCACTGCTTGTCAGGTCATGCTGTGGCAGCATCCCATATAAAATGGAGGAAGATGGGCACAGATGTTAGCCCAGGGCCAATCTTCCTCAGCAAAAAAGAGGAGGATTGGCAGATGTTAGCTCAGGGCTGATCTTCCTCACACACAGACACACACACACACACACACACACAAACACACACACACACAATTATTCCCGAAATAACTCTAAGACAGTTACAAGATGAGAGTTCTGAAAGTGTTTTGGGAAATAGCTGCATCTTTAATACATGTAGAATCCCAAGGTGACTCCTTTGAAAGGCAATACTGATGGATTTCTCAGTGGGGGATGTGTGTTGAAAATTCATTCTTACCACTTTATAGTCACAAAATAATGGAGCCATTTATTAGCCATATGTCCTTGGATAAATTACTACTCTGTGCCTCAGTTTTCACATCTGTAAAATGAAGATAATCATAAGTAATACCTATTTCCTAAAATTGGGCTGAGAATTAAAGAAATTAAAATACGTGAAGTATTTAGAATAGTGCCTGGCAGTGAGAGCTCCATGTTAAGTCTTAGCTGTTTTTCTTCTTAGCTACATTTTAAAATAAAGTGTTCTGACATGTGTTTGTTTTCATATTGTGTTTTAGAGTAACGCCCTGCTGTTAGCTGCAATTAGCCAAGCTAATGATGTCTTTTTTATATTTATTTCCAAAGGACAGTTACCCAACCAGTTTTGAAGTTTCTGGGTCGTGCTTTGTTCTTTTCGATGGGGTTTATAGTTACTGTGAAAGGAAAGGTCGCAAATGCTGTGGAAGCACCGATTTTTGTGGTGGCCCCTCATTCGACGTTCTTTGATGGAATCGCCTGTGTGGTAGCCGGGTTACCGTCTATAGTATCTCGAAATGAGAACGCGCAGGCGCCTGTGGTTGGCAGTAAGTACTTGTAAGATAACATAGATAAAATATTTTCATGCTCAGGGGCCGGCCCAGTGGCGCGAGTGGTTGAGTGCGTGCGCTCCGCTGCGGTGGCCCGGGGTTCGCCGGTTCGGATCCCGGGCGCGCACCAACGCACCGCTTGGCAGGCCATGCTGTGGCGGCGTCCCATGTGAAGTGGAGCAAGATGGGCACAGATGTTAGCCCAGGGCCAGTCTTCCTCAGCAAAAAGAGGAGGATTGGCAGATGTTAGCTCAGGGCCGATCTTCCTCACGCACACACAAAAATATATATATATATTTTCATGCTCATGCTTGAATTTAAAAAAATCATATGTAGTTTATTGGTAGACTTTTTTAAAAACTTTAAAATAATAAAACATTTCAAACATATTTCCGTTCTTTTAATGAGGCACTATATTGAAAGAAGGAATTTATGAAAAAAAAAATAGAGACTTCCCTATCGGTACCCTTGTGATTTTTTTTTTTTTTTAAATCTTACCTTTATTACTGAACCATCACCTCTTTCTGTTCTTATATATATACCTGGTCAGAAAGACCAGGTTTTAAATGCCAAACATGATTGATTTATTTTGAGAGAGAGCTGAACCGAAGAATTTGCGAAAACACAAGTTACGTGCTTTTCATGAATTTCTCTTCAGGATATTAGGCTGATAAACCAGCTGTGTGTCTTTTCTCCTAACTCTGTTTTCTTCATTACTGCCCCCAAATCTCCATGAGGGAACAATGTGTGACTCCTTGAAAATTATGGTGTGGAACAATACGTGCTTCCTGCCATAAAAAATAATGAAGCAAGTGAAATGTTTTTCCCAGCAGATGCTTGGGTCTCTCCCTAAGGTATTAGTCTCCAAGTAACTGCTCCGGGTTGTCCCAAGGTTATTGCAAACATCAAGAGATGAGAGAGTGGGCGTGAAGCTGCCTGATGTTGCCTTGGTGCTCTGAAGAAATAATAGGAGTTCTTGCAGCTTTTGTCATTCAGTTCAGAAAGACACTTTTTTTTTCAGTGTAACCACTTTGCTTTGTGTAATATGGTGTTTTCCTGAAAACTTGTTTAGCAATAGCTTTTTGGTAAATTGAAGGTTTGTTTTGCATAAGGAAGCTACCCACTTAAAAGACTGTTGTGCTGAAAATTTTAGTAAAATGAATAATAATTGCCCCCTGTTCATGTGTACTGTGAATTCACTATGAATCGGTTTTCAGGATATTCCTAAAATAAAACAAGATAATCTGGTAGTATATCCCCCAGGGGTTTAATGTCAGTTGAGGAAGAAGACATTTAGGGAGTAAATTGTATTTGCTTCTTTACATATTCTTTCTGCTAACTCCTGTTAAATCAATGAAATATTTTTTGTCTAAATGTCCACCTCTCCTTTTGAAACCAGAAGCTAAGTTCTAATGAACTTTGCATTAGAATTTTTTTTTTAAGTTGTCCTCTTTGATTTGCTATATTTTGAGATTTTCCATAAACTTTGTTTCATGATTTATCCAGTATCATTGCTATGGTAGCTTTAGCAAAAAAACTGACTTGGTTGTGACTGTTCATTTGTTTTAAAGGACTGTTACGAGCTCTGCAACCAGTGCTGGTATCCCGTGTCGATCCAGATTCTCGAAAAAACACAATAAATGAAATAATAAAGCGAGCAACATCAGGAGGGGAGTGGCCCCAGGTGAAAAACAGTAGATGTTCATTTAAATATATTGAGAGTTTATTTATTGTACGTTTGTAAACATACTCATTTGGATCCACAGATAGCAATATCTGGAGACACCTGTGCTAGATGTCTTTAGCATAATAGAAGCAGAATAAATGAGTGAATATTAAGACGTTCTCTTCCCCATGAGACATTCCATGGACTTAAATGTATCATTCTTGTTTATTCTTCAAACTCTTTGAACCAATTTTTACTTTGTGTCATAAAAAGTAATTCTCTACCTCTGAATTTATTTACCATCTTAAAGATGAGCTACGAAAGCTCAATTATACTCAACAATATGGTGGGTTTATTGAAAAAGCGATTACGATTTTTAATCTTATTTGATTAAATCTGAATTAAACATCTGGGATGTTTAGTTCAGGGGGCATATAAGAATCACCTGTAGAACTTTCTCAAGCTTTACCATCTCACCACCCCTTCTTCTGGAATGCCTTTTGAAGGTGAGGGAGGGACAACATGTATTGGATAAGGAAAGCCTCATGGGTGCTTCTGATAAGTATCCCTCTATCTGTGCCTAGGTGAAAACAAGCGATCTCTAGCAGAACTAATGTCTTGCAGTGATCTGGCCACCCATGATGATGTGTAGATGTCAAAGTAACCAGAGGAGTATGACCAACCAGGAGGTGTTAGAAACCAAGGCATGTGAAGGATGATTTAAAAAGTGATTGGGGAGAAATGGCATTTGGAATAAGTGTTCAATTTTTCTCTTTGGATCCAAGGAATATATCTAGGACTGGGAGCTGAAAGTTAACAAAGTAAATAGATTTCAGCTCTTTTTGCTGATCCTGAGGAACTTTCTGTCCGGAGGTACAATGGTCTGATTTGGAATCCTTTTCTGGAATTTTTAGACATTGGCTAAGCAACCACTTGACGGAGATATTGTAGAAAGAATTCAAGCATTAGAAATCCTAGATGACTTTTAATGCCCCTTCCAGCTCTGAGATTTTATGATTTACTCTATATCCATTCATTGTTAATAGTGTAGCTATAGAATTTCCACTGAATAAATCATATTTGATATTGTATCTGATCGTGATAGGAAACTCATTTTTTTTTAATTAGAGGATGGAATTGCACCTTCATAAGTTTTATGTTACAGGTAACCTGTTTTTGTGGCAATTTAGCCTAATGTTTTCCCTCTCCATTATAAAATACACATATTAACTGAATACACATGCTAACTACAGTGAGTGCAGAAATTTTCTTATTTTATTTTGTACCTAACAGTTTCCTCTTTGCTAAATTCTAAAAGCTTCAGAAAATCAAGCCATTCAGTTAATGGGGAAACTAATTGTACTGCAATCTTTCACATGGAAAACGTGAAGGAGTTTGTTAAAACCTAAACATACTTCCTCAAAGAAAGATGCTAAATTGAATTCCATATGTCGACTAATTCAAGTAAGCATAAGACATATTGTCCTCCATTTTCCCCCATACATCCCTAAACTATATGTTGTAGGAGTGAATATCATTTAATGGGAAAATTGAAACAAAGAAAAGTAGGAAATGATTTGTTTAAGGATGTATAGCAGTAGAAGAAAGAATTTAATGTATACTTTGACCATGACTTAGTGTCTGCATCTTCTTTTAAATTTATTCAGATCATAGCATCATCATTAAGAAATATTTACTAAGTGTATTCTCTATTCAAAGGCTTAATCCATTTTCTGATTATCTTAATGATCAGACTATACTTCTTTGAGAGGAAAACCGGATAATCTGATTCTAGCTTTCATTAGAATCACGTGTTAGCCTTTTATTTCATTTCTGTTTTACAAGACCTGGCAGCTATTTGTGAAGTCATAAGAAAGCAAGTAAAGAGGTAATCTATTCATTAGACTGAAATATTAAATCTATTCCTTTTCTTCCAAGATGCTAGTTTTCCCAGAAGGTACTTGTACTAATCGGTCCTGTCTGATTACTTTTAAACCAGGTGAGATAAATTAAACTATGTATTGTGACAAAGTAGTATGGCAGATTTCTCAAATGATTTGATAGTAATACACAAAATAACTCCTTAGTTTGCTCTGAGCATTTCTCCTTTTCTGATAAAAAGTTTTTAATGTTGTGAATCCACTCTTTTGCTTTCTCTTTTGGTATCATAACCCCTTCTTCCTTGGAGTGTCGTGTGTGTGTGTATGTGTGTGGTTTGAGCAGAAACTGCTGGCAGATTTTTCTTTTCCTCCAAGGATCCCCTCACAGACACCTGGGGTCCTGTGTCATCAAGTAGAAAAGCTGTTTCAATTATCATGATAATGCCTTCAAATGCCTTCTAAGGTTCACTCCTTTTTTTCATATTATGAAGTCGTGAATTTCATAGTAATGTGTAATTTCATAGTAATTGATAATGCTTTAAAATATTTTTGTGTTGGCTGCTAGAATGCTCAGAGCCAAAGTTAGAGCTCACTTCCACCAAGTGTGGTAGTTCTTGTTCCAAGCACTTGGTTTCATCTAGATTTTCTTCTTATTTTCTCTGTGTCTTGATTTTATCATTACTTTCTTTTAAATCCTGTTTAATAATAGGCATTTGGAAAACAAAAACAAGTGGAGTTGTAAATTAATAAATATTTTAAGTGACTTAGGCACAACGTTTAATATTTTGCTTACATAATTCTGAATTTTAAAAAATCTCTCATTTTGGTGAACACTAGGGATTTACTAACATACAGCGAATAGTCGATGTGTACTCTTAAAACATTCAGTATATGTGTACCATTTACTATTAATGTTGTCTTTATTGTGAAACTTGTATTCATATAAAGAACGTGTCATACAATTTCCATGTGGTTATAGGAGCCTTCATTCCAGGAGTTCCAGTTCAGCCGATCCTCCTCAGATACCCAAACAAGCTGGTAAGCATGGTGTCACTATGGGAAGAATTTCAGCGTCCCAAACAGCACCAATGCCCTGGGGCATCTTTTCATATTTGAATAAAGGTGTGGATGGGTAAATGGTGGAAGTGGATGGGTAGACCCATTCTCTGTGCCACATTTAGTTTTTTAAAGTTTTCAAGATAGGCATATATTTGTTGATACCAATGTTACATACTGTTTTGGCTTTACTAAGCTACAGGAAGACGTTCCTGAGCTGCTACTCTGTTGTCACTATGATGAGACAATTAAGTCTCAGGTTCAGGGTCTCATTAGACTGGACATTAGAAAACTTGTGTAAATTTGTGATTTTCATTAAGCTTAGAAGGAAATGTTTCCAGATTCAGTGGTCATTACTGGGGGAGGAGGATTTAATTAGGATAAATTTGGGATAGATTTGGTATTTAATTACTAGCTCAGTACTTGCTAGCTATGTGACTCCTGGCAAGTAGCTTAAGCAAGAAACTATCTGAAAAGAAGGTAACGTCCTGTAGAATGTCCACAGTTGGCTCAGGAGATAGCCTCTACTGCTCTAGCTAGGTACATTGTTATCTTCTGAATATTGATTGTGCCGCCATTTTCCTAAATAAAGGTTTCTTGGAGGATGTTTTGGTTCTAAGAGGAACTTTCTTTACTAGAGAATTTACATAAAAAAGGCAAGAGGTAATTTTTAATTATCTATGTGTTGAAGATTGAGTTCTTGATCAATTCAACTTTCTGTTCAGTGGCTGGTTTCTCAGCCTGGGACATCTATGGTTTAAAAAATTAAAATCTATCAAACTTTTACTCACTGTGTTTCTGCCTATGGGTTTGCATTTTTCATTTATTCAAATTCTTTCACTATGCACTGCTTTAATCTTTTTTCCTAAATAACTCTTTTTTTTGGAGAATGATGTAGTTTGGTTTTTCTAAGCAAATTAGTTATCAGATATGTTCCTATTGGGAGAAAAATAGCTAAGCATGCACAATAGTTTAAAAAAAAATTCGGAGCAACTTAGTTCCATAAAAAGATAGGTGGAAGATAGATAAGGAAGATGGATCTTTGCTATGTAGATATATAATCCAAGAATTCATAGATCAGTTCACTGTTGTTTAACAATAATACTCTGTTTGTTTTACTTTTTAACATATTGTTTTAATTCAGAAAAAAGTACATGAATACCAATATTAAAGTAAGATTTTTGTATTATTGGGTAATTTTTCTGTGGACTAACAGTTTAAATACTTTTGTTATTGTAGGATACTGTGACTTGGACATGGCAAGGATATACATTGTAAGTTGCTTATATCTATTATTGGTATATATAAATTTTATTCTAGTGAAGGAAAAGAAAGATAATTTCTTTTTTTTTAAAAAAAAACCTTGTCTTTATAAAAGTAAAGATTTCTAATCAGCTGCTTAAATCTTGTAACTGATAAGTCTCTATAGAGAGAATAACTGTCTTGCCCATTAGCCACCAGTGTCTCCCATGTGCAGAATTCGAGTTGTCTGTCATGTTCTAATGAGTCTCAAGTGTTTATCTCCAAATTCTTAAGAAACCTTCCAGTGACCTAGTTTGCATCATACTTAGCATTAATTTTGTAGTTTCATTTCCATCGCGGATTTACCATTATCCAGTGTCTCCATCGTTGTTTTACTCTATTGACTTAAGCAGCCCAGAGCAATTCAGTCATATGGCCTGAAATAGTTGTGATGTGTCTGACTTGAGTTGAGAAAATAGCTAGCCAAGCTTTCAGTTCCGTTCTTGGATTTTAAAAGCCTAACAATCAGCAATTTCTGTAAACATTTAAGAGAGGAGAGGAATACAGTTTCACTATTAAGCAAGCTGAAGTGAAATAGGCCTTTAAAAAGAACAGAACACGTAGACTCTTACTTTCTATCAAGAAGGTCTTTTGTTTAGGTTCCCTGGAAAAGTCTGAGCCTGTTTTCATTGGTGAGAGTCCTCTGAAACACCTGGGTTTGAGGCTTTGCCCTGGGGCCCACCAAGTAGTGCATTTTGATGCTGTGATATACAGAGTTCAGGTAACATTGTTGATGCGTAGTAGACAACCACTTGGAGAAATCATTATTTGCCTTCAAGTACATTGTGGGCTTCCTTCCATACCTTTTAGACAATCCAAACAACTTCTGAAAGTCAGATTTTTTTTATACTGCACACTTATTTTCTCCATTTTGTGTGTGTGAATTGCTTTGAAATAACAATTTAAATCAGAATAGGTAATTGGTGGGCCAGCTACGTGTATTAATGTTTATTAACATGTGAGACATTTATGTTTCTGTTATGCTTCAGTCCTTAGTAATTCAAATTAAGTAAACCCCACCAAAAATAAAGAATATACATTGTAAAGAATATCTAGACGTTATGTTATCTTTAACTGTTCAGGAAATCAATTTATTCATTTGGCTAGAACACATGTGTTTTGTCATTACTGATTTTGAATTCCTGGTTTTCAGCTTTTATACAAGGGAAAATTAGGAGAAACAAGTAATATCAGAGCATTTGAGAAAAAGAAATGCCTAAAAGTTAGGTGGATAGTGTATGTTTCCTGAGTGCTGTCATCCATGTGGCCTTTACAAGTTAAGTTCCTTATGGAGATGGTGGCTTTGGGTTCACTGTGCAGTCAGTGTGACTTTTTTGGTTTTGCAGTAGTCTAGGTAGATGTGAAGGTCAAATGGGAGAAGTCTTTTCTGGAAGGGGGATCAGGGATAGAAAATAGAGTGGTTTAGTTACTCTAGCCTTCTAACCCAGGAAGCATGTGATGAAGGGAAAAAGAAAATAGGAGAGGGAATTCAGAAAAGAAAGAGAGGAAAAAAAATATTTTCAGAGTTAAAGATTTCTTGGGATGTGTAAACAAACACAAAATCTTCCAAAGGCACAACTTTGTTTTGTCCAAATGCAGTTACCTGCGGTAACTCTCATTTGCACCTTTACCTTCTGATCTGCTGCATGACGTATTAGCACGGTGTCTGTTCCTTCTAAATCAATTTTCTCACTTGCCTTGCTCCAAGTGCTGCTCTCCGCTCAGATTCTAAGGAAGAGATTCTACACCAAAGCAGATACCCTAAGGGACAGGGGGAATAAACTTCGAGAAGGGGCAGCTGTGAAAAGCTGTTTTGTGTCAGTCTAGAAAGTGTTGTTTGGTTTGTGTGTAGTGCAGACAACACAGGTTGAACGAGATCTTATGTGTGGTTTCATTTTTTTTTTTTTTACAGCATTTCAGAATTTTCAGAACAGAATTATCTATTCAAATCCCTGAATTCCAAAGCTCCATTTAAATAATTAAAGAATGGTTTACTCTAGGGTAGATAATATGGATTGACTTTATTTGTTTGGGGTTGGTAGTAAAAGATATTTCCCTTTCAGATGGAAGGTTGGAGAACTGATACTTCTTTTAACAATTTATAATTAATTATGGAATTGGCAAATCTATTTCCGAAATTCCTTTTTTTTAACTAAATCTCTTGTTCAAATTCCTAAATTCCTTGTCTTAAGTAAATCCTTTCAAGTACTTTTTACAGATAAATCAGATTTTAATTTCTTAATATCGAAAAAAGGTTGGTTGGTAGTTTTCTTAAACATGTTGTCTAATCCACTCTGACAGATTTCTGGGTCATCTGTCTAAATGAGGCTAAATAAAAATCCCGTAGAAATCTTATCCAGAGAGTCTAAATATGTACTAGAAAGCTGCAAGTAGGAACAAATATTCCGAAAATTATCTTTGAGAGAGTTGGTTACAATCATTTTAAAGAAAACCTTTGTCTAGCTTTACAATGAAATTTAAAACTCTTCAGAAAATTTCCTCATAACTGAAACACTTATTGGTAACTGGGAAAATTATGGTCAAGTTTCTGCTTTTAAGGAAAGGCCCACTGATTTTTTTTTTTTTTTTTTTTTTTTTAATATCAGAAAAGAGTTTAGGGGCTGGCCCGGTGGCGGAGAGGTTAAGTGCGCACACTCCGCTTCGATGGCCCAGGGTTCGCAGGTTCAGATCCCGGGCGTGCACCAACACACTGCGTGTCAAGCCATGCTGTGGCAGCATCCCATATAAAGTAGGGGAAGACGGGAACGGATTGGCATTGGATGTTAGCTCAGGGCTGATCTTCCTCACACAAAAAAAAAGAGTTTAGTAATGTAGTGTGCCACTCAGGAGTTTCCTATAAACACATTTACATACTTTAAAATGTGGCCCTGGGTACTTTCTCTAGGGACTTAGGCCTATGAGCCTGAGTTGTCAAGGAGACATCAAATTTGGGGTTTAGTCTGCAGCTCTGACTCACAAATACGTATTTGGTATTGCATTTGGTGATTTAACTTTAGAGTATCAAGAATAGTTTTCTAAGCCCAAGAAGTGTCCTAGCTGCAGTGTGGCATTTATAAACACAAAATATATATGAAGTGTGATGGGGGGGTGCTGTGTAAAGAAAGGATTGTTGAGTAATATTAGATGGTACTTGTGTTACCATATAAAGGTGCCCTTCTCTTTTTTTCTCTTCAGCATTCAACTTTGTGTGCTTACTTTCTGCCAGCCCTTCACAAGGGTCGAAGTTGAGGTAAGTCATTCAAAATGTAGCCTTGGCAATGGTCCACTTTGGTGGCCCAGGTTCGGTTCCCAGGCGCAGAACCACACCACCTGTCTGTCAGTAGCCATGCTGTGGCGGCAGCTCACATAGAAGAACTAGAAGGACTTACAACTAGAATATACAGCTATGTACTGGGGCTTTGGGGAGGGAAAAATAAAAGAGAGGAAGATTGGCAACAGATGTTAGCTCAGGGCAAATCTTTCCCAGCAAAATGTAGCCTTGGATCTTGAGATTTGGCTTTTCTTTTTATTTTGAATTTCTAGTCTAGAGAGACCAGATATATAAAGGTTAGAAATTAAACCCACCCCCTTTAAAATGAGCCCTTTAAAATAATCTGCGTATCTAAACCTAGGCTGTCAGATCAAGCCCTTAGAATGACATCAGGAAACACCTCTAACTTCCAGGAACTTCTAATGTGTAACCACCTGGCTGGCCAGCTTTGCATCACCTGTTCTGTCTTTTTATTCCTTTTAATGGTGACCTCTGCCCAGCTGGATGGTATGTCTTCCCATCCTGACAGAGGGAGCCACTGTAGCTGAGGGAGCCCCACAGCCCCTTGAAGAGTATGTTCTGAGGGGCCAGTCTGGTGGCATAGCAGTTAAGTTCGCATGCTCCGCTTCAGTGGCCTGGGGTTTGCAGGTTCAGATCCCGGGTGCGGATCAATGCACCACTTGTCAAGCCATGCTGTGGCGGCGTCCCATATAAAGTAGAGGAAGGTGGGCACAGATCTTAGCCCAGGGCCAGTCTTCCTCAGCAAAAAGAGGAGGATTGGCAACAGATGTTAGCTCAAGGCTAATCTTCCTCACACACACACAAAAAAAGAGTATATTCTGTGAAAGCTGAGAGGTGCTACTCAGGGTTGCCAGAGGGGCACAGAGGTCAGAAGCCCTCACTTTTGGAATCCCTCTGCACGTGGAGAGCCTGAGGAAATCATATCTGGGAGGCAGCTCATGCCATCCTTCACAGGACAGTCTTTTGGTCTGAGTTGCAGTGGCAGGTGGGGAGTCAGGGAGTAATTAGATCATTCTGAGAATTCTGACCAGATTTTTAAGACTCTGAAGCTTGGTTCCAGAACTATTCTTAGATTCTAGGAATGATGCAGAATTGACCCCTGAATTCAGAATCTAGTTGGTTTTAGTAATACCCTCAGGTAACCTCTAAAGAGAGGGGGTCAGAATAATGGGTCCCCAGCTCTTGCCTGGATTTTCCAATGGCATCCATGGATTGTGTAATGAAAACCTTAGGTTTGCATATGTGATTCAGAGTCCTGAGTGGGGGCCAGTGCTCCACCTGACACGACTGTGGAATTTAAGTGACAAGAACACGATTTTACCTTGCTGAGTGGCCTTGTCATCCAGCCATTTCGAGATTGTCAGCAATACCAAATGACAGTAGGGCAAATTATATTTCAGAATGAGTTTAACTTGAGTGAAATTTTTCTTGAGACTTGCGGGTTGTCTGCCTGCCTTGAAATATCTGTTTATTAATTATATGCCACACTGCCTCACCTATAAAACCAGCTGAGAATCTCTCAATGTGACCAAAAGACACTAGTGCTTGGAATATACTTAGATGTTTCTAGAGAAAAGACTCATCTATGTCCTAATAAGTTTAGGAAGTACCAGGGTAGACAAAATGAATCAGATTCTTTCCTCAAGACGTCTCAGTGCCTTTGAAATATTTGACTACAAAACCCCCTTTCCTCTGGTTATCCCCTGGAACCACTGTTGCATAGAATACATTTCGGGAAGCCCTGTATCGTATTATTTCTAAGTACTCCAAGCACAGCTCTTCCTTCTTTGATAGCTGCTCAGAGAGTCGAGCCCTGTTTCCTTTCTCTAAAAGAGCAAGAAAACCCACACTTAGAACAGCCATGCTATATCTTCTCTGCAAACTTGGAAGGTATTGTGTGTGTGTGTGTGTGTGTGTGTGTGTGTGTGTGTATCTATATAAATGCACATAGAATGTGCATAGAACTGTCTGTAGAATGCCTGTGGAACTGTACTTTTTTGTCTAGCACATGTGTCAGTGGTCAAACTGCATTACAACAGAGGTGTGCAAATTCCTCATTTTTTTACCCTGATCATTGTTACCACATTTCCTTTCTGTATCATGGCTGGCTTTTTTTTTTTTTTTTTTACAATTACAATATTTGCATTCTCCAGCCTATTCTTAGACCTGTTTGGATAATATTTTCTGGCAAAGAAAAGAATGTGTCCTTTGTTTGATAAGTTCACAAACAAAATGGCTTTTAACCGGTTTAAAATAGCTGGCCTGGTAGGGATCTGGTGTATTAGAATTGTGGTGCAGAGCAAGAGGAGGAGAATTTGTGGACTTCAAATTCAGTATTCTTATTTTAATTATATTTATTTTAGATCTATGATGCTACCTGACCCCCGAGGGGACTCCTAGCTACTTTATTATTTGGGGGTATTTTGATTCCCCACTGTTTGGATGGGACTAAGAAACGCACCCCCGCAGTCCTCTGGGACTGGGTATATCCACATCCTGGCTTGAGGGTCTCAAGAGCTGGGCGCCGTGTCTGAGGCTCCAGCTTTGCCACCACACCTGAGGGGGCCCAGCCTGAGCTGCCCCACGTGTACCTTAGTCAAAGTCTCGGTGCATTTAGTTGCTTCAAATTCAGTTGCTTTGGTTGTTCAGAAGCACCCTCATCTCTTTCTTGTTTCTTTAAAATTGATGGAAATCCTAGTTATTATTTTTAAAATATGTTTTTGGGACTTCTTGAATATTAATTAGGTAAACCTAATTCAAGATGTATTTTTCAAGAATATGGTTTTAGTTTTATGGTTTCTAAAATGAACTTTGAGTGGATTACTAAAGTGCCCTCTCAGACACTCTGCTCTCGTGAGTCACCAGACATCTCAATATGTTGACTGCTGTTTCTTTTAGTTTCACAAGTCTCCCTCATTAATGATGATTATCAGATTCTTTAATTACCGAAACCATTGGATATCTAAAACCTAGAAAATGTAATATTGAGGAATATTGCCTTAACACCGCTCTCCTTTCCCTCTCTGTTTCCGCAACACAGAGACTTATTTTTTGAAAAGGTTATTATTTTCTTGGCTCTTGGATTTTAAAAATACAATAAATCCCAAACCTCATGTCCTATGTAATTGGTCTCCTGGCATCCTTGAACGATGATGCCATGTGGGTCTACAGAATGGTTCTAACTGAAAGTTACTCTTTGAATGATAATATGGCATTGTGGGTGTACTTAAGGAGTCTTGTAGTGATTACTTTTATCAGCCAGCTGCATCACAAGTATCCTTATAAGCATATGGCTTAGGGGCATAGGAAATAAGATAACTAGTAGGAAACATCTCAACGTATGGTATAAGTGAAGATCCTGCTAGTTTATCTCGTGAGAGAAAGTAACTGCAAAGCCACACTGTATAGCACTATGTGGGCGCAGCTAGTTTATGAATGGAAACAGGGCGTTCACATTGACTGTACTGTCAGTTTCCTTCTTCATACACTATATCTCAGTTTGCATTCAAAGCGTGTTGACTCTAAAGCCATCCATTATAATATAGATACATAAAAATGATTTGTCTGTAGGCATAGAGGCATATTTTGCTTTAGGAAAATTTCTTTGCAAAGCTTATAGTTAGCTTCTAGTGGCCAGCATTAGACCTACAATACTTTATGGTGGGCAATTCATTGCCTTAATCATAGAAAGAGATTTTTTTCATTAAAAAAAATTCTGATTTAGAAAACGATTGTAATTAATAATGAGTGTTATGATCAATACCTGTAGATTTATATCACTTTTAAAATCGCCAAAGAACTAGTTACTTAGGGCAGGTTCAAATGTGTTTACATACTTTAAATATCCAAAAACACTAAAATGTTTTGTAGTTTTGAATCTCAAACGAGCCTTTTAGAAAACTTCCATCGCACAAAGACACCCCCCCCGCCCACATATGTACTTGTTCTATAACAAAGCTAGTGTCTTCAGGAACCTGGTAGAATTCTGGAATTTGTAATTAGTAGTAGGGAAATGAAGTGTTTTGAAAGAGTATTAGCTGGGGCTTTTGTTTCAATTCTGCTACCACCTACCTGTATGTGCTTGAGCAAATTACTGAAACCTCTCTAAACCTGTGTTCTCACTGGTAAAATGGGGATAATAACAGCTATTGTATAGGGTTGTGAGGATTTAATAAGGTTACTTATGTGCTGATGCGTGGTAAGTGTTCAGTAAGCATTAATTTTTATTTCCCTTATCATCTAGATTTTGGGGAAGGAGGCAGCAAATGTTGTTCATAAATACCTTCCTTCTTCTGCATTTTCTCTTTTTGAAGACCTACAAGAAGAATCCTGGGAAGCGCTAGAACGGCACATTGGTTAAGACTGATCTGTTAAAATCCTTTTCTGCTACTTGGGAAAAGAAAAGATGGATCATGGTATCATCACTCATCAATCTTTCTCCTCATCATCATTTCTTTAGTAGAAAGGAATATGCCTGTGGTGGTCAGGAAACAATGAATAAACCAGTTTTACTGGTACTGAGTCTTCTGGATCCTCTACAGAAGGAAATAGGAGGCTCTGGGACCTATGCTTTACAGAGATAGGAGGCTCTGGGACCAAAAGCACAAACAAGAGGTGTTGGTGTGGGAAACATGTCAGTGAGTCTCCTCCTGGACTCTATGTGGTGAAGGAGGAGAGAATATTGAAGGGAGGAGGGGGATGGAACCGTGGAGGCAGTCCCGGGGGCAATGGAACAGGAAATTGAAGTTCACATGGGCTGTTGTAGGGAAGGAAAGACTTCCCTCTACCTGCCTGGGTTTGATAGTTGGATCTATGGAATAAACTGACCACAGGCAGATCAACAGAGGAAAAGCATACAATTTTATTAATTTTTAATATTATATACACAAGGGCATCACAGGAATAAAAAGTGAATACATAGGAAAGTGGTGAGATTTGAGAGCTTATATACTGTCTTT